CAGATACAACGTGTCGCTCCCACAATCTGGGTCCTCATTTTACCTACCTCGGAAGGATGGAAGGCTGAGTCAACCCTGAGCCAGTGAGATTTGAACCACTGAACTGCAGATAGCAGTCAGCTGAAGTGGCCTGCAGTACTGCACCCTAACCACTGTGCCACCTCGGCTAATGCACTTAGAATTGGTCTATGCTGTATTTTTTAGTTAAAAACAAAATAACATTTGACTATCTTAAAAAGAATATATTTAAAACTGTGGTTTGGTGGGGGGGGGGCAGCCAAAGTTTAAGAGACCTGTTTGGTTTAACATTGACCAATTAAATATATGAACAACAACACTTCCCCAATCTTCAGTTATCTTGTGAGCACAAACATCACACAACTCAGCAGTTACCTTACAAGCAAACAAAAATTTGTACTGGGGGAGGTGGAGATGAAGAAAATAGTGCTATGGAAGCTGCCTCCGAACTCTCAGAGGAAAAGTATGATATAAAAACTGCCCCATCAACGTATCATTTTAAAATAAAAGCTAAACATTCCTACAACACTTTGCAAAGCTTCGACTTTCAGACTTAATGCAATCAGCAATCCTCAGAATCACTTCCAAAAAGGCAGGCAGGCATTATGTTTTCCTAGGCATATAATAGCCCTGGCTCGGGATGAACTATTCTGCAAAAGAACATACTTGGGAATGAGATAATGGCCTGAATAACTCCGAAATTGCAAAAGCTAATGCAGCATCCAGCTCATCAAATGCAAACAATTCCCTTGGGATTCTTCTGAATACTCTTTATGGGTACAATTAACATATGAAAAACCACTTGCAGCAATGTGGAAGAATAACTGACATGTCTTTGTGTTGTTGAAAAACAGGTACTTACATATTCTTCATAAGACTCATGCGCTGGTAGAGGGGGAGCTCGGTAACCGGGTACGGCCGGAACTCCTCTGGCTCGAGGGGCGGGGACCCCTCTGGTGGCGGGTGGGACTGGGAGTACTCCGCGGGACACCGGCGTTCCTCTTGCTACTTGAGTTCCTCGTCCAGGTGGTGGTGGAGGGATGGCACTCCCACGCCCCCTAAGAGTGAACAGAGCAAGCCGGTGATTGTGAGAAGGAGTGCTAAAAAAAATGAAAGATTTATAAAGGTACATAAAAGGATTTCTGTGCTGACTGCGTTGACGTTAAACTGTTATTATATTCAGTAATTTAGAGAATGCATATTACCGTTCAGGGTCCTTGGTACTCTTTGAGCCTGGTTCTTTTCTTGAGTCATTACCCAAACTAGGTAACATCCTTGGAGCCGAGGTGGTGCAGTGGTTAAATGCAGCACTGCAGGCTACTTCAGCTGACTGCAGTTCTGCAGTTCAGCTGTTCAAATCTCACTGGCTCANGACTCTGTAAACCGCTTAGAGAGGGCTGAAAGTCCTATGAAGCGGCATATAAGTCTAACTGCTATTGCTATTGCTAATGAATGATTTTTTTAAATATTGAATGATACCATTTAGTAAGGGATAACAAATACAAAGAAATGTTATTTATGTTTAAATGAATTAATGGGGAAATGTAAAAGGAATATGAAATGAGACTAGTATTGTTGAAGTTGGAAGATTAGAATCCCACATACCATTTGTATTATTATTGTTAATGTTGTTTAAAAATAAGACTTGACCCAGTCAATGCACTGTCCATAAAAAAAATGTATGTTATGTTTATATTGGAACAAATAAAAATAATTATTTATTTTTTTAAAAAAAGAGAAACACTATTTGAAATTAGTGTCATGTGTGAAATTTGTCACTGTTGGAAATTTCGTTTGGAAAATCTTAAAAAATAGAATGACAACTTGGCAAGATATAGCCTACCGTTGAAATATTTTGATGTAAATTAGAACTTGAGAACTTGGGAATTCTGGATCGACAGAATTCCATACACCCATGCAGGAATCTTCTTTGCCTTGTTAATTATCTAAAGAAAAGAGGAGTAAAATCCTGAAAAACAAAACATGCAGTGTGATAGAAATATGAAAATAAATAAAAGGATATAGAAATATAAAAGCTAATATGTTTCTCTCTGTGCATGTGTATATATGCTAGGAAATCCTAGTTATTTTTGCAGTACATTCTGTTCTATGTCATGGACCAAAAGATCTCTCCATGCTTACCTTGACTTGTTCTTGCTTCGTTATCTCCCTTGTCTTCTCCAAGTACAATGCCCTTCACTCCATCATTCCATCCACTTATGAAGACAACGTTTTCAAGAACCATAGAAACTATTGCATCAGGTGTTCAGGGGTAAATGGTAGACGTCTTGAGCAATATTTTCGTTAATATTTAAAGAGCATCAAGCAGATTGCATCATAGAAGGTTTATATACTTCTTCTCCACAGAAGCTTGGAAACCAATCTCTATGGATATTTGCATTTAATTTCCCATGGGTATCCATGCAGTGTATCTAGAATATACTCAGGGCTGATATGCTTTGAATCAAATCTAATCTGTGGGATGCCACAGGGTGGAGGGGTGTGTGTGTCAAGCTATTCTCCAAAGCACCTGAAGTCCAGACAAGGAATAATAATGGATGGAAACTGAACAAGGAGAGATTCAACCTGGAAAAAAGGAGACATTTTCTGGCAGTGAGCACAGTCAACCAATGGAACAGAAGTTGCCTTCGGAAGTTGTGGGGGCTTCATCACTGGTGGCTTTCAAGAAGAGACTGGACTGCCATCTGTCAGAAATGGTGTGGGGTCTCCTGCTTGGTTGTGGGGTTGGACTAGATGACCTACAAGGTCCCTTCCAACACTGTTAATCTGTTATCTGCTAAATGACAAGTGCAGCCCCAAAATAGGAGATCCTTTGGAGACGGACCAACAAGGATAAACTTTTAAGCATTTTTTAAAAAAT